AGATTCTAGCCATGACACAGCCTTCAAGTACTTAACATGTGAATTTGGAAAATTACTCCACCACTAAAAAATAGAAATTGTCAAGAAAAATCCCAATAATATCTAAAAGTAAAAGAGAGATCAGCGGACATCAGGATTTCATTCAGAAACTATTTCTTTTAAATATAAAATTCTATGCACTCCTGGGAGAATGGTCTGTCCGTGTTTCTATGATCAATGAGATAAATATGTTAGGGGAATTTGTACAGCCACTTTGTGGAGTTGGTCTCACCCTTCCAAAAGTCAAGCTGGAGAAGACCAGTTCTCTATAAATTAGAAAATCTGTCCATTAATAACTGAGAATTCACTGTTCTCTTTGCCTTCTCATAACGCTGATTTATTAGCAGTAGAAAAATTTCTGGACTAGAAGCCAGATGATTTGCATAGACAATTTCCAAGAGTTGTCATAAGGTTCTAGTAAGATAAGGTATGGCAAAGCACTTTACAGAATCTAAAATGCTATTCAGTAATTTCAAGTGGTATGAACATCAATACTGCAATGATTATGTGAAATGCATGTAACTAATAGTAAGTTTACAGATTTCCAAAATTATTGATCATTAGACATGATTGGAAACTAGTCCAATAAATGTCACCTTAAATTTTTCTGCAACTGTGATTAACATATCACAGTTACGTACACAGATAACATAGACCATTTAACTAACTTTTAAAGCAACTTGGTGGTTTGAGCCTATTCAGTCAATGAAGACAACTTGCTTGGTATATGTGGGGAAATCAATTTTTCAGGAATGCATTCTTGCTAAGGTTAGACAGAAACATGTAAGTACTAAACAAGGGTGGGCTCTGCATTTAAGTCATTAATTTTTGCTCAGTAAGTTTGGGAGAAGATCAGAGATGTTTGGAATTTTAATATTATCCAGAAGAGTCATCATAAAACCCAGTTGCAAAAAAAATCAGTTGAGTTTTCTGAACTGCTGGAAAGTTTAAGTAATAGAAGCTGTAATTCTTAAACCCACTTGACTTGTTACTGACAGAACTGGTCTATTACCATAAATGCAAGATTACAATAGGTACATTTTTCTATTAGGTGTCTAGTTTACTCTGTTTGGCCTTGTTTATTAAATTCTTAAGTGACTTTCTTCTGACATTGCCCTCTGGGCTTCCTCTGCTCCACATCGACTCATTCTCTTAGCCTGAGGTATAAGCTTATATACTTTGTTTCTTATTAAGACTAATAATTTCAAAATTTATACATAAGACAAATATATGTAAAGTTTGTATTGAACATTCAATGGGAATTTCCTGATTTTAACTCTTAAAATTCACATTACAACTAATTAAATATAATGTTCACAGGAAATAAAGGATATTTTCCTAAAGCAAACTTCTTTCCTGCATAAAAATTGGGAGTAATGAACATGACCAAATGAAATCAATCTTCTATTTAAAGCTCCTTGTTTAGGAGGGTGATGGGCTGTTAGGAACTCTGATGCTATAGTGGAAAGAGTTCCTATCTCAATCTTAATTCTTAGGAGGATTAAAGGAACTAATACATGAAAGTGTTTGGAATAGTGTCTGATACACGGTAAGTGCTCAATAAATGTTTGCTATTTTCTTTAGATTATTACTTTAAATAAACCCAGGGGTATTCAGTGAAGAAATATGTTGTCTGCCTAACAGAAGTCATTCTTCTTTCTTCATTGGAATTTAATTTCCCCTTTATTTGTCTCTATCTTATTCTTCTTGCTCTCTCTGCCTATCTTTACTGGTTTTTATTGTTGAAAAGCTAATGGTGTGCTTTGGTGACCTCAAAATAACTGCTTGATTCCCTTAGCCAGCATTTTGTCTCCCTGTTTAGCAGCCTAAACAAAACAGTGTGCTGTGCTTTTGCCAATACTGTTTTCCTCTTCTCTCTAACGATCCAAATTCTATCCATCCTTCAGACTCCAATTCTTGCTCTTTTCCTACATCAGTCCAGAGCACATTAAGATTCATTGAACTTATCTAATGTTCATAGTCTCTACTATACATTTATTGTTTCCCATATGTGTGTTTTATGTACTTTTGTATTGTCTCTTAAGTGACATTTTAGGTTTCTCAGCAGCTTAGATTTCACTCAAGCAATATTCCCATTTCCTCTCCCCATACAGTCGTACACATGGTAGTCTCCTAAGGAAATACTTGATGAGTAGAATCACCTTATCTCATTCAAATGGTTGTTTTGATATCACGTGGTTGTAACCTTATGATACCAGAGGAAAAAACATTCTCTACTCTTATTTAATAATTTATTCTACCGTAATCCAAATTATACTCTATTTGTCAGGAAGTTTCTCCTAGAAATGCTCCTAATTCACTCCTTTTGCAGTTGATGTTATCATCTGGATGAAATGAAAGGAGGAAATGTGATAATGAGCATAGTTAATTATTTTGATTTTAAAAACAATTATTTCTTTCCTTGAGTTCTTTTTTTTAAATTTTAATTGGAATATAGTTGATTTACATTGTTGTGTTAGTTTCTGCTGTACAGCAAAGTGAATCAGTTATACATATCCATATATCCATTCTTTTTTAGATTCTTTTCCCATATAGGTCTAGACAATGGAATATTACTCTGCCATAAAAAAGAATGAAATAATGCCATTTGCAGCAACATGGATGTACCTAGAGCTCTTTTTTACAGGAATTTATATTTTTTGTTAAAGGAGTTTTAAATCTTTGAAGTCTGCGATTGGAAAAGCTGTATCCTATTCTTTCTAATTTTTATTCCCTTGGTAAAATAATTCAAAATGAGTCCTGCATAACATCTGCATCAGAATCACCTGATTTGTTTAAACTGAAGAGTGTCCCATTCCAGAGCTGCTGAGCCAGAAGGTCTTGTTGTGAAGCTAGGAGTCTGCATTTAGCATGCTGCCAGGTACTTCTTAGGTATTTGGGAGCTGAGAATTATTATTATTTTTGTTTTGTTTTGTTTTGTTTTGTTTTTTGCGGTATGCGGGCCTCTCACTGTTGTGGCCTCTCCCGTTGCGGAGCACAGGCTCCAGATGCGCAGGCTCAGAGGCCATGGCTCACGGGCCCAGCCGCTCCGCAGCATGTGGGATCTTCCCGGACTGGGGCACGAACCCGTGTCCCCTGCATTGGCAGGCGGACTCTCAACCACCGCGCCACCAGGGAAGCCCTTGTTTTGGTTTTTAATATACAATAAAGTGAATCTCTGTTTTGCTTTCCTTGTTAAACTTTGCATTATGTAATTTTCAAGCTATTTAGTTAGGGTATTGCTTGGCTCAATAAGACAACTTTTTTTGAGAGTTGGAACCCTCTCTCTCCACCCTCTCTGTGTACACAGACACACAATCTTACCTTGTCATAACCTCCTAATGGTACCATAGTCCTAAGCTCTAATGAAACCCATTTTACATTATACCGTTATTACAAGTTTGTCTATATCTGCCACCCTCCACTTCCACCAGACTGTAAGTTTCTCAAGAATGAGTATGCATAGCACATAATAGGCTTGTTATACAATAAATGTTTGCTGTTATGAACATCAAATAAATTTTATATTGCTATTTTACTGCTTCATGTCTATTAAATATATATTCTCAACACGGGAAAACACCTAAGCATAGATTTACTCATACTTCTGTGGTAACATTTACACTTCTGGGTACACAGTAGGAGACAAATGTGAATAAAGCACTTCTGTATTCAATAAGAATTCAGTTTTTGTTAATGATTTAATGTAAAACTGAGCAAATATTTAATTTATATATTAAAGCAAAATGGGAAGAAAAATAAAACAAGTCTTCACTCAGTCTTATTTCTGAAAGAATGGCTCAGCAGGGGGCTGAGCAAGGTTTTGTTTACAAACTTGGTTTCCATAGCTGGGTGAGCTTATGTACTGACCAACAATCTTTCATAACCAGCTGAAACATTGTCTCCTGATGTGTTCTTATTTTGTGGCCAGAACATGAAGTTGGCAAAATTATCCAAACTATTACATCCTAAGCCACTCTAGATACAGCCAAGTTCAGTTTTACAAACAGAAATGTGTAACTAGTAAATCTAAGTGGAAATTTTCTTACTTTTAGGCAAATGATTTTTTTTCTCTGATTAAAAACATGTTTAGTTAGATATTATTTTGGATATCTAAATCACTGTAAAATACTGTTCCTGTTTCTGTTTCATCTATAAGAGCATCCAACAGACAAATATCTCCTATTCTCCAGTTCTCTCTGAGAATAACTAGTGCAATGTGTTCAAGAATGTATAAAAATCAATGAAAAGGAATAAATCTTAGATTGAGAACAAAGTTTTAGAGATGTTGTACTTAGGCTTGTGAATTAACAAACTATCCTATTCTTACAGAGTTAAGCCTGAGTGATCACCCTCCACCCAGCTAAATAATGGGAACACCAAGGGATGTTCTGTTTGCACCCCACTTTCTCTATATCTAGGTCCTGTCTTATTGTCATACTCACTTCATAAAACTATTTCCTAGCAACTTCATGGCACCCCTCATACTGCAAGGGAAGAAGGGAACTAATATTGTGAGATACTGCTATGTGTTTAGTACTTTAAAAATATTATCTCATTTAATCCTTACAATTCTTGAGGCGGATTTCGTACTCAGTTGACATATGGGAAAATTTAGACTCAAAAAGTCACACAGATTATAACTGAGTTAACTAGTACTTAATACCAAGATTTTTATTTTTAAGTCTGGTATGCTCATTACTGTCCCAGAATCGACTACCACATAGTAAGTGGTCAGTGAATTTTTGCCGAATGAATGATTGAATTCTGTGGATGACTAATGAATATCACCTTGAATCTCTCAAAATTTCTTTTTTCTTTCCTCCCTCCCTCCCTCCCACTCCCACTCCCTCTCTCTCGCTCTCTTTCTTTCTTCCTCTCTCTCTTTTTCCCATGGTAAACATTTATTTAAATGGATTTAGGGGTCACCTGACCCACACTCCTCCATGAGTAGAAGTTACCTCCAAAATATGTTCTCAACACAAAGTCCTCCAGCTCTTGTTGGCCTTTTTCTGGAAAAGAAAGATCATTAATTTGTGAGGCAGTCTGTTTCATTCTTGTGTGGTCCTTATTAGAAAGACTTTCTTTGTACTGAAATAAAATCTGCTTCTAAGTGGAAGGATAACATGGTATTATGGGAAAAGCATAGGTCTCGGGTCAGAAAATTGGAATTTGGCCTGTAACATTTTCACTTTAGGCAAACCCCAACTTCTCTGAACCTGTTTCCTCACCTATAAAATGATGGTAACAGTGTCTGCACTGCCTAACTCTCAGGGTCATTATGAGAACCACATTCTGTGGTTCATAGGACATGGGACAATTCTTTGCAAAGAATGAATCCCAATAAAAAGTTGGTTTTTCCTATTTCACCCTCGGGGACTTCACAGAATAATTCTACTCACTGTTAAAGAAAACAATGTCATGTTTCATTACATCTTCCTTTCTTTAAACTAAAGAGCTCCATTTCCTTACACATTTTTAAAGATATAAAACGAATGGGTTTTATATAAAAAACCCTTCTGGTTACCTCTTGCTGAATCCTCACTAATATGTCAAATACTTCCTTGAAGTGTGCCCAAGAACTGGACCCCACACTGCAGAATCATTCTTACGCCACACTGCAGAATCATTCTTACCAGCATAGAATGCAGTGTTGTGACAGTTCTTGGCTTGGATATGTTGCTTTGATAATGCAACCTCAAATTACACAAGTATTTTCACCCATTACACTTCTCAGCTAACCTATGTTGAGTTTGTGTTTGACTAAGAGTCAAGTCCCCTTTATATTAGCTGCTGTCAAGTTAGGTCTTCCAGGTCCTGTATTCATGTGGTTGTGTTATTTAACCTAAATGTAGACTGCTACATTTATTTATTTTTATTTAATTCATCATGGTTTTAGCCCATCATTACAGCCATTATAACTTTTTTGACTTCTTATTTTTATCTACCAATGTATAGCCACATCTACAAGTTTTATGACATCTGAAAAAATGATAAGCAAGTCATTTCTGGTATTAGCTACATTACTGGAGAAAATGTTGAATAAAGTAAGCTTGAAAAGAACCTTGTGAGTGTCTTTTCTTCTCATTAAAGATTTCCCTCTAATCTTAGTTACTGAACAGTTTATTGCAGTTATTTGTGATAGAACTGCTTCTCCCTTGTAGACTGTGAGACCACACCTTGGTCTTCTTAGTACACCTAAGGCTTAACATAGTACTTGGCAAATAGAAGCCACTTTAAGAGTTTATAATTGGAGAATTAATGAGTGAATGAATCAACATATTAAGCAATATGCTTTGGGTAAGTTTATTCAACTAGATATCTACCCATCTAACATAGCCAACATTCAACTTACATTTTCCTTTTTTTATTCATAAAAGTACTAAGAGAGAGTTTGTCAGATATACCCTAAATCAGTAGAAGTCTTTCTTTGATCTACTGATTTAATAACCCCGTTTTAGAAGGAAATTCGATCTGCTGATAAGAAGATTTTGGTGAACTCATCCATACTTATTTATAGTTAACACCCATTTCTTCTTAAGTATTCACATAGCTTCTGTTCAATTGCTTCCTTCAGAATTTTGCTTCATTATCTCCTTACCTAATTACCATGTGTACATTCCTGTGGGATGTACATTAATGCAAGTACTTTCTCTTCCATCACCTTCTTCTCCCTTCCCTGCTCCCTATTTTTGCTCCTTTTTCTGCTCAATCTTTTCAAGTTATAGTTTTTCTTAAATGCATTATTGAGAATAGACTCCTCTTTATCTTCAGTTCTCCTATTTTTATCCCTCTCCTTTCATATTGGATTCTTCCCTTCTTTACACTGAAGTTGAATAAAAGTAAATTTATAAGTGTGTTAAATAAAATATTGTGTCTCAAGATTGCATTTCTTAAAACAAATCCAAAAGAAATTTTATCTCTACCTAAACAAAACTAAAATCCCTGCAACCAATACAAGCACATTTTTTAAAAATCTGTTGACAGATGAGTGGGTCAGTGGTCCTCAGATGGAGAGCTTTTTCCTTCTAGAGGAATTACTGCAACTTGGGTGATCAACAAAGATCCAAATAGAAAGTTTCTGATGTTGTGTGGTGTTTTATAAGGCTAGTTCTATTTCCCCAGAAGACTAAGAATATTCGATTAAGTCATTGTGAATTCTGTCTTACTTATCATCATCGTTTAGCTCTTGAGTCACAGTTTAGATTTTATCATAAGGGCAGATTTGGCTTAGGTTGGTTCTCTGAGAGTAGAGTTAAATGAAGCTGTTGATGAGCATTTATGTTTAGCTTGAGGAAATAGCCTCTTTTGTGCTGAAAGCATATACACAATCCTCTGCTATTTCTTGTGTTTTGATAACAAGTAGTGTTTTTCTAGAATGGAAAATATGTGTCATTCTCTTAAAGATTTATTCTAATCTTAATCTGAAAGTAATTAGTAGCTGCATTTCCTTATATACAGTCATACATTTTACCAATAATTTTTACTGCCAGGTCCAGGGGTACCATTTTGATCCGCATGCCAGCTTTTCCAAAAGATTATCCATGATGATACTATCTTTTATATTTGGGTTATTTTGAGTGCTGCTTTTTACTTTTTACTTAAGAAATGTATGAATTTACACTTAGAATATTGGTTTACCCCATTTGATAGTTGTCATATGACAAGATATAATCTCAGAGCTTTCAATCAGTAGAAAAAATACACAAGTCAGAAAGTCCAGAAAGTAATGTAAAGGAAGTTTTAAAATGCAGTCCCATAAGTACTGTCTCAATCAGGAACTAAATTAATATGTGATGTAAGGACTGTGTCAACTTCTAGGGGCACACTGAGGATTTTAGTTAGTACTGGCGTGACTACACCTCATGTTAAATACTGTACTTCCTCAAGGCTACCACTGAAGTGTTATTCAATTCATTTATTTATCTATTTTTCCTATTAGACTGTGTGCTCCTTGAGTGCAGGGTCTGTGAAAAATATTTAGAAGCAGAGCAACTAAAAGTCTAGTTTGAAAAATCCCTCTGACAAACTACATAATCTAGAAAAATTAATCTTTTGATATCAGTGTAATAAGCTATAGAAGAGGAATAGCATGGTCCTTTTTGTAGTTTTGTAGTTATCATAAAGATAAAATGAAATACTATAGATAAAAGTAAAGTAATTTGAAATGTAAAGAATTTATGCAAATGGAGGAACCATGAATGAAAAGACTTAATATTTGCCTATAAACAAGATTAAAAGGTAAATGGCGAATTGGGAAAAAATATTGGCAATACACAGGCCAGATGAAACATTGTTAATTAAATGAAATACATAAATTGCATTAAATATATAAATGCAAAACTACTATAAATATGGGAAATATTTAAAGTATCACTTACAATAGCACCAACAAATATGAAATGCTTACATAAAAGTTCAACAAATGTATGCTGAAAACTACAAAACACTGATGAAATAGCTAATAGAAAGAAGACCTACATAAATGGAGAGACATACTATGGTCACAGACTGGGAGAATATTTATTACAATGAACTTTCTCCCCAGATTGAGTTATAGATTCAGTACAATTCCAAATAAAATCTCAGCATTCTATTTTTGTAAAAATATACAAGTTGATTCTAAAATTTATATGAAAAAATAAAAACACTGAAATACTCAAAACAATTTTGAAAAAGAAGGTTGAAGAATTCCTACTACTTGATTTTAAGACTTATTGTAAATTGAGAGTAATCAAAGTAATATGGTATTGGGAAAAGTATAAATCCAGAGGTAAATGGAGGAATTGAGTCAAGATATAGATCTACATGTGTATAGTCAACTGATTTGTTTGTTTGCTGTTTGTTTTACAAAGGTGAGGTGCTAGGGCAATTCATTGGAGAGAAGGTAGTCGTTTTAAACAAATGGTTCTGAAACAATGATCCATTTCTTACATCATAAGCATAAAGTGAACTGAAAAGGGATTATAGATCTGAGTATGAAACCTAAAGCCATAAAACTTCTGGAAAAAAACATAGAAGAAAATCCTTGCAACTTTAGGATAGGCAAGTATTTCTTAGATAAGACACAAAAAGTATGTGTCATAAAAGAAACAATTGATAAGTTTGACTTCATGAAAATTAAAGACATGTTCTTTGAAAAGCTGCTGTTGAGAGAATGAAAAAACAAGCCACAAACTGGAAAAAAAATTGCAAAACACATATCTGATAAAGAGCTGGCATCTAGAATGTGTAAAGACACATAACTCAATAATAAGAAAACAAACAGGTTCATTTTTTTAATTTTAAACAAACACTTGTTTTTTTTTTTTTGGGGGGGGGCTTTTATTTATTTATTTGTTTTGGTATGCAGGCCTCTCACTGTGGTGGCCTCTCCCTTTGCCGTGCACAGGCTCCGGACGCACAGGCTCAGCGGCCATGGCTCACGGGACCAGCTGCTCTGCAGCATGTGGGATCCTCCTGGACCGGGGCATGAACCCGTGTCCCGTGCATCGGCAGGCGGACTCTCAACCACTGCCACCAGGGAAGTCCCAGGTTCATTTTTAAAATAAACAAAAGATCTAAACACTTTTAAAAAGTAGATGTAGGAATGGCAAATAAACACTGGAAAAATGTTCATCATTATTCTTAGAGAAATTCAAATTAAAACCACAGTGACATATCACCACACACTTATTAGAATGGCTAAAGTGGGAAAAAAAAAAGAGAAAAGGAAAAAGAAAACAAACTTGACAATATCGAGTACTGTCAAGGACATGGACCCTCTGGAACTCTTTTTTTTTCTTTAATGTCTTTATTGAAGAATAATTGTTTGCAATGGTGTGTTAGTTTCTGCTTTATAACAAAGTGAATCAACTATACATATATCCCCATATCTCCTCCCTCTTGTGTCTCCCTCCCACTCTCCCCATCCCACCCCTCTAGGTGGTCACAAAGCACGGAGCTGATCTCCACGTGCTATGCGGCTGCTTCCTACTAGCTATCTATTTTACATTTGGTAGTATGTATAAGTCCACGACACTCTCTCACTTCGTCCCAGCTTACCCTTCCGCCTCCCTGTGTCTTCAAGTCTATTCTCTATGTGTGCATCTTTATTGCTGTCCTCCTGCCCCTAGGTTCTTCAGAACCTTTTTTTTTTTTTTAGATTCCATATATATGTGTTAGCATATTGTATTTATTTTTCTCTTTCTGGCTTACTTCACTCTGTAGGACAAACTCTAAGTCCATCCACCTCACTACAAATAACTCAATTTTGTTTCTTTTTATGGCTGAGTAATATTCCATTGTATATATGTGCCATATCTTCTTTATCCATTCATCTGTTGATGGACACTTAGGTTGCTTCCATGTCCTGGCTATTGTAAATAGAGCTGCAATGAACATTGTGGTACATGACTCTTTTTGAATTACGGTTTTCTCAGGGTATATGCCCAGTAGTGGGATTGCTGGGTCGTATGGTAGTTCTATTTTTAGTTTTTTGAGGAACCTCCATACTGTTCTCCCTAGTGGCTGCATCAATTTACATTCCCACCAACAGTGGAAGAGGGTTTCCTCTTCTCCACACCCTCTCCAAAATATATTGTTTATAGACTTTTTGA